TTTCATCCTCGAAATTTGCTTACCAAAAAGTTCAGGATATTTAATTCGCATTTCGTCTTCTCTTTCGCAAGTGGCCTCTTCTATTGACTGATTCCGCCACAATATCTTAACCAATGGAATTTTCTTGCTTCTCAGTTGCTTTATCTCTCGTTGAAGGATCTCTATCGGCTTTTCTTCGTAAGTCAAATCTGGTTTTATTTCCATCGGTTCATTCCTCAATACATGAGAAGGATTTCCAATATATTTTCTTAGCATGGATATATGAAACACATTATGTACTTGAGACATCGATGAAGGAAGGTCAAGTTTGTAGGCAACATTCTCGATTCTCTCAATAATAGTAAATGGACCAATATATCTCGGGCTTAGTTTTCCCTTCTTTCCAAACCGCATCACTCCTTTCATTGGTGCTATCTTTAAAAATACTTGATCTCCCACAGTAAATTCTAATATTCTTCTTCTTTGATCTGCATAACATTTTTGTCGATTTTGAGCAGTTTGCATCCGTTGACGTATTTGTGTCACAACCTCAGCCATTTCACGTACCATATTTGGACCTAATAGTTTCCTTTCTCCAACCTCATCCTAATAAACTGGAGATCTACACTTTCTACCGTATAATGCTTCATAAGGAGCCATACCAATTGTAGCCTGATAACTATTGTTGTATGCAAATTCTACCAAAGTTAAAAATTTACTCCACTGGCCTTGGAAGTCCAATACACAAGCCCTTAGCATATCTTCCAATATTTGTATGGTTCTTTCTGATTGCCCGTCAGTTTGAGGATGATAAGCTGTGCTAAAAGATAATTGTGTTCCCAAAGCCTTATGTAAGCTTCTCCAGAAGAGAGATAAAAACTTAGAATCCCTGTCTGAGACAATAGATAGTGGTACTCCATGAAGTCTGACTATTTCTTGTACATAAAGCTGAGCATATCGGTCCATGGAGTAAGTGGAACAAACTAGAATGAAATGGGTTGATTTTGTTAACCTATCCACAATAACCCAAATACTATCATATCCTTTAGTCATTTTTAGTAATTTCACCACAAAGTCCATTGTGATTCTTTCCCATTTCCATTCCGGGATAGGTAATGGTTGTAATGTTCCTGCTGGCCTTTGATGTTCTGCTTTTATCTGTTGACAAGTTAAACATTGTCCCACGTATTCGGCTATCTCACTTTTCATGTTCGGCCACCAATAGTGCAACTTCAAATCTCTATACATTTTAGTAGTTCCAGGATGAACAGAATAGGGTGTCATATGAGCTTCAGATAAAATATCACCTCGGATATTTTCTGTATTAGGTACATATAATCGTCCTCTAAACTGTAAGATATCATCTGCTGATATATGAAAATCTGAAGCTTTTCCATCATGTATATCATTCTTTATTTTGGAATAATAATCATCTTCCTGTTGCCCTTGTTGAATTCTGTTCAGTAAAGTTGGCTGAAGTGTCAACGCAGCAAGTTTAGCCTCTATAGATCCTTGTGACATAACTTCAATACCCATTTTCTGTAAATCTATCAATTCTGATTTTTGAGTTACAATCATATTCGAAACACTGGATGTCGACTTCCTACTCAATGCATCGGCTACAACATTAGCCTTACCGGGATGATAGTTTATTACACAATCATAATCCTTTACCAACTCTAGCCACCTTCTTTGTCTCATATTCAATTCCTTTTGTGTAAATAGATACTTCAAACTTTTGTGATCAGTGTAAATCTCACACCGCTCTCCATACAAATAATGCCTCCATATCTTAAGTGCAAACACAACTGCGGCGAGTTCCAAATCATGTGTAGGGTAATTCTTTTCGTACTCTTTTAGTTGTCTAGAGGCATATGCAATAACTTTACCATTTTGCATCAATACAGATCCCAAACCATTCTTTGAAGCATCACTATAAACTACAAAATTTCCAGTACCAGATGGGATTGAAAGGATAGGGGCTGAAGTTAGTCTTTTCTTCAATTCCTGAAAACTTTGCTCACAAGCATCTGTCCATTCAAACTTAGTACTCTTTCTGGTTAATTTCGTTAAAAAAGAAGCTATTTTGGAAAATCCTTCCACAAATCTACGATAATATCCAGCTAAACCCATAAAACTTCTGACCTCTGAAGGATTTGTAGGTCGTGGCCAATTATTAATAGCCTCTACTTTACTTGGATCTACTGATATACCCTCACCCGATACTACATGTCCCAAAAATACAACTCTATCTAACCAAAATTCACATTTCTTAAACTTAGCATATAACTGCTTGTCCTTTAAGACCTGCAGAACTATTCTCAAGTGTTTCGCATGTTCTTCCTTAGTACGAGAATAAATAAGGATATCATCGATAAATACAATTACAAACTTATCGAGAAAGTCTCCAAATACCCTATTCATCAGATCCATAAAAGCTGCTGGGGAATTTGTTAACCCAAATGGCATTACCAAAAACTCATAATGACCATATCTCATACTAAATGCTGTCTTAGAAATGTCTTCTCCCTTTATTTTAAGTTGATGGTATCCAGATCGCAAATCAATCTTCGAAAATACAGATGCACCCTGAAGTTGATCAAAAAAATCATCAATTCTCGGTAATGGGTATTTATTTTTAATTGTCACCTTATTCAACTCTCGGTAATCGATGCACAGCCTCATAGTACCGTCCTTTTTACGAACAAACAATACTGGTGCACCCCATGATGAAAAGCTAGGTCTAATAAAACCTTTATCTAACAACTCTTGTAATTGTAACTTCAACTCTTTTAGTTCAGTTGGGGCCATTCTATATGGAGCCTTAGAAATTGGAGATGTTCCTGGAATTAAATCGATTACAAACTCTATCTCACGATCTGGTGGTACCCCAGGTAAATCATCAGAAAATACCTCTGTAAATTCTTGTGCCACTGGCACATCACTAAGATTCGAATTGTGTTGTGCTTCAATAGCATTAACACTAACCAAATACCCTGCACACCCACTATCTAGTAACCTTTGTGCTTTCAATACCGATATGGTTGGAACTCTAAAATCTTTTTTGATCCCAATGAATGTAAATGGCTCATTTCCCAAAGGTTGAAAGGTTACTGACTTCCTCATACAATCTATAGTAGCTTGATATTTTGACAACCAATCCATACCCAAAATTATATCATAATCTTTCATTTCTAACACAATTAAATCTGCATAGAGCTCTTGATTTTCTATGAGGATCGCACATGCTCTTACAATTAGATTGGTTTGTTGTACATCTCTAGATGGAATAGTTACACTATAACTAACCTCTTGTATATCAGGTGTCCTACCCAACCTCCTCACATACTTAGTAGACACAAATGAATGTGAGGCTCCAAAATCAAATAGTACTAGTGCTGTGATGCCAAAAATAGAGAATTTACCTATTACCACGGATGGATTTGTCTCAGCATCAGATCTGGTAATAGTAAACACCCTAGCTGGCACTTTCTTTTGCTCCATAGGGTTTGGATTACCTAGGCATGCTCTAGCAAGATGTCCCATCTTTCCACAAACATAACATGTTCTAGTCTCTATAGGACATGCTCCAGTATGCTGTCCACCACATTTGGGACAAGATGGTTGTGTTGTTGAGGCTTTTCCTTGATCTATCCTTGGACGTTTGCCCTGATCCCAATGTTTTTGTCCTTGTCTCGGTTGAAACTTAGGCTTCTGATTTTGTCCTTGGAAAGACCTTTTCTTATCGTTTCTAGGCCAATGCTGTCCTTGACCTTGCCTAAACTGTCGACGAGCCTCTTGAGCACGACTAATCCTTTGTTCAGCTTGTTCTGCAACTAAGGCTCTCTCCGCAATTTGAGAATATGAAACATCTAGGATTCCTGCCATGCTTACATCTCTATATAGTTCCGGTCTTAGCCCCTCAAGAAATCTTTCTACCTTTAGTACCTCAGTATTAACCATGTGGGTAGCAAACCTGGATAGTTGTTCAAACTTACGAATATACTCTCCCACTGTCATCCCTCCTTGTCTTAACTGTATAAATTCATTCATCTTCATGGCTCGAACAGGAGCTGTAAAATATTTATTACGAAATAACTCTTTAAATCTCTCCCAAGTCATGGCATTTACATCTTCAATGCTACTCATCGTATCCCACCAATGTCCAGCACTACCTCGTAGCATAAAGGATGCACAAACCACTTTTTCTACTTCTGAGACTCTCGTATACCTGAACATATTCTCTAAAGTTCTCAACCAATCCTCTGCTGCAGTTGGATCTAATGCATCCTCAAATATTGGAGGGTTTAGTTTTCTAAATCTTTCTCCAACTGTCTCAATATGTTCAGCCCTTTGCTGTGGTTGTAAGAATTCAGCCCTTTGTTGTTCTCACCTTTCTCTTTGTTGTATTAATTGTTGAATTTGTTGAGATTGGCGCTCAACTAATTCTATAAGTCTATCAATAACAACATCTCGACTGTCATCTTGAACAGATGCCACTTGCCCCGGAGTTCTAGCTCTACAACTACTAGCATCTCTGGTTCTCACCATGGCTGCAAATAAAGGTTGGCCAATATCATTCATGAAATATGCAAAAAATAATGCAACAAATAAAACTTACTGACATAGCTGTGCTCTTTCATATTCCGAGATCATGTACATGGACAGTCTACAGAATTATAATCTCGCTCTGATACCATTCTCTGTCACACCCCCAAATTAATATTGATATCTATACACAACCTAGACAAAGAATTTTACATATATATATATATATTTTTTTTTTTGAGTTTGTTAACTTCTAATCACCTGTGACACGATCATATAATATATAGAAGCCCAAAATCATATCGCCATAATCCAACATATATATATTCAGACCTTATAAACATGTCTACAGGCCATTTCAAAAGTACACTATATAGGATTCCAAAATATAACCCAACAGATGGTAGCCTACAAAATAACCCTACAGGTCGTCATCCATGTACATCGAACTCTGGAATCCTGTAGGAGCTCCACAGCTAGCCATACTCTCTATGTAGTTCCGTGTTCACCTACAATGCAAGAACTACATAAGCCAATGCTTAGTAAGCAAAATCATGCATGTCCTGAACATGAGTAATAACAACATATGACACCATGCCATTTACTTTAAATATCACGATAAAAATATCATATTTCAATATTCGTCAAAGTCGACTAGAAATCATTTCACTTGAAATCTTTCATTTCATTGGGCCCTTGACCCACCTACTATGCACCAGATAGAGCTCTACATAATATCAATATCAATAATCAAATGGCCAGTATGAAATCGACATCGACAAGTGGACCATCCTCTCGTGACCACTAGAGGCCCATCCCCTGACTATCCCTATGATCACTCAAGAAGTCTCCCACCTGACAGTGCCAATAATCATAACAAGGGCATAGTCGAGTGGTCCGCCCTCCCGTTATCACCAAAGGCCCATCCCCTATCTACCTTTGCAATCACCCAGGAAGTAATACCCGCAATGCCAAAAATATCACATAAACATGCCTCACATGCCTCGGTGCCCTAGTAGTGGTCAATAAAACATTTATAATGAAACTCACTTTGAAATCATATTTTGCATGCAGTATTTTCAACCATGTTACATGTCGTGCATGCATATGAAAATGCTCATAAATGAAAATCGATGTCAATAGGTTACGCAATCTCATACTCAATGATCGTAACCACCATATGATGTGCTATAAGCCTCTTATCAAAGTTATGTAGATATTTCAACATTACTATGTCACATATACTAGGTTCTTGCATCGTAGTTGCAAATGGATTTTCACTTACCTTTCGCCTTTATGTGTGTAAGCTCCTATGGAGTGTGTATCAATTCCCTTTTTCGCTCAACGTCAAAAAGTCGCCTGTATTATCATCTAATATTAAATATTAGGGGACATCTAAATGTTGAAATCGCATTAGATACCCAAATGGACAGAATCTGTTTTCTAGGTTTCCGTCACCGTCCACTCATTTTTCAAATTCTTTTTCATGTCCTTACCTATATTTAACGGTTCCCAAACTTTTACCACACACCTATAACATATATGTGAAGATAATCAGATCATAACATTGTTACAAATGAAGTGTTTGGAGCTTCAAAAACAGTCCATTTTCCACTACATAAAATCAGGCAGTTTTTCCCTTTGACTGTTTTCGGTTTCCATTTTATTATTATGATACCAACAGAATCCTATGCCATTAAAATCATTTCTACACTCCCTACTTACATATAAAAACGTTCATATTGATATATATAAGTTAAACACTAAGTATCATCCCAAAATCAAGGTATAAATCACTCAATCCAGCAATTCCTCATCTCTGTCCAGATTAATTTCTTTCAAAATCTTGCCATTAATTACCCCTATTTAGGCATCATAACATCATTAACAACAATCCAACTTAATCACAAACAACTTCCGATGTTCAAGAAATCATAAACCCCTTAAGAAATAATAGAAACAAACCTCAAAACTGTGGAGTAACAAAGCTGTTCAGAAATTCCAGCTTCTTGCTTCTAATTCTCTTTGGCTGTTTCACCCTCTTTTCACTTGGAATCACTTAGGGACGAGTTCAGGGAGCTAATATATTATTTAGGAGGTAAATGAGTGGTCTTTAAATAGTTGAAGTCGTGCATATTACTTAATGATTAAGAATATCATGGGCTGCAGCCACCTCAAGCACTCAAGGTGAGTCACTAAGCTGGAGCTGTCATCTTGGCTGCAATACTTGACTTTTCTACCATTATTTTTGTGTCCATTTATGATATTTAAGATATATATTCATCCTATATTAAGTCCTTGGGGATTAGACACGAAATTTATGCCTTAGGGTTGAAGCAATTATATATTAAAGTGAAAAGTCCCCTAGCATGAGCTGTCCAAGTAGGAGGTGGCTTCTTGCAGCCAACTTTGACTTCTCCCTTGCACCACATGGAGCCATATGTGACTTAGAAGAGTTATAAATATCTTGTGTAAAGTTCCAAGTACTTATAGGACGTGTTGGAGGCTTAAGGTTGAAGGAATTGAGTGCTAAAATGACAAACATCCCAAGCGCGAGGTGTTCAAGCATGAGGTGGTCACTTGTAGCAAAATCTGATTTTATATCTATCTTTGCAGGCACAAACCAAGTATCCTCGGCTTATTTTGACATGTTTACAATCCATTTTGCTTGTCCTAAGATCCCAAAGTATTTCATAGAACTAACTCCTCAACCGTTCATTTAATTTCTTACCCGATTCTCAACCGATTTCAACAATTTGCATCTCAATATTTATAATGTCGTATAAGACATATATTATTACGTTGTGATAATGTCACTCCATCCCTCATGTCCCAAATATGTGAATTACCTATCTAGGGTTTAAGGCGACCTCGATTAGCCGAATGGAAAGCTTGAACCTTCGTTGATACAAATTTTCGACCTTTTAAATATTACATTACTTACCAAGCCAATCTCCAACATTTAGTTAATCTAACTTTCTATCATAGCTCAATATAAAATTCACCACCTAAATTGAAGAGTCGAAGGTTATCATCATGTAAAGATTTTAAAGCCTTGATGATCAAATGCATCATTTTAAGAGAAGGCAATCAGGAAATTGATACAAATGACAATGTAATTAGAATGAAATGCATGAATCATATTGGCCAAATGTAGAACGTGAAGTTCGGGGCATTACAGCGTAAGTGCTATGACCCTTAGTGGACATTCTTCTGAAAGAATCTTACAAAGCCCTGCTCCATGCGCAGGCCGATATAAGGGCGTAAGTGCTGCGACCCTTAGTGGACATTCCTCCAAAGGAATCTTACAAAGCCCTACAACATACGCAAGCCGATCTAAGACTGTAAGTGTTACCCTTAGTGGAGATTCCTCCTAAGGAAACTTTCAAAGCCCTGCTCCATACGCAGGCCGACCTATGGACGTAAGTACTGCGACCCTTAGTGGACATTCCTCCTAAGGAATCTTACAAAGCCCTACTATATACGTAGGTCGATCTAAGGCTGTACGTGTTACCCTTAGTGGAGATTCCTCCTGAGGAATCTTACAAACCCCTGTTACTTGCGCAGACCGATCTAAGGCTATACAGGTTACCATTAGTGAATATTCCTCCTAAGGAATCTTACAAAGTGCTGCTCTATATGCAGGCCAATCCAAGGGCACAAGTGTTGCAACCTTTAGTGGACATTCCTCCTAAGGAATCTTACAAAGCCCTACTACATACGAAGGCTGTACGTGTTAACCTTAGTGGAGATTCCTCCTGAGGAATCTTACAAAGCCCTGATACGTACGCAGACTGATCTATGGCTATACGCGTTACCATTAGTGGACATTCCTCCTAAGGAATCTTACAAAGCGCTGCTCTATATGCAGGCAAATCTAAGGGCGCAAGTGCTGCGACCCTTAGTGGACATTTCTCCTAAGGAATCTTACAAAACCGTGCTACATACGCAAGCCTATCTAAGGCTGTACGTGTTACCCTTAGTGGACATTCCTCCTAAAGAATCTTATAAAGCCATGCTCCATACGCAGGCCAATATGAGGGCCAAGTGCTGCGACCCTTAGAGGACATTCCTCCTAAGGAATCACACAAAGCCCTGCAACATACGCAGGCCGATCTAAGGCTGTACGTATTACCCTTAGTGGACATTCTCCCTAAGGAATCTTACAAAGCCCTGCTCCATACGCAGGCTGATCTAAGGACGTAAGGGCTACGACACTTAGTGGACATTCCACCTACGGAATCTTACAAAGCCCTGCAACATACGTAGTCTGATCTAAGGCTATACGTGTTACCCTTAGTGGACATTCCTCCTAAGGAATCTTACAAAGCCCTGCTACCCACGCAGGTCGATCTAAGGCTGCACATGTTACTCTTAGTGGACATTCCTCCAAAGGAATCTTACAAAGCCTTGCTTCGTACGCAGGCCGATCAGAGGGCATAAGTGCTGCGACCCTTAGTGGACATTCCTCCTACGGAATCTTACAAAGCCCTGCTACATACGTATGCCGATTTACGGCTTTACGTGTTACCTTTAGTGAATATTCCTTCTAAGAAATCTTACAAAGCCCAGCTCCATATGCAGGCAGAACTAAGGGCGTAAGTGCTGTGACCCTTAGTGGACATTCCTTCAACAGAATCTTTCAAAACCCAGTTATATACATAGGCCGTTCTAAGGTTGTAAGTGTTACCCCTAGTGGACATTTTTCTTAAGGAATCTTACAATGCCTTGCTCCACATGCAGGCCGACCTAAGGGCGTAAGTGCTACAACCCTTAGTGGACATTCCTCCTAAAGAATCTTTCAAAGCCCTATCCATACGCAGGCCGACATAAGGGCGTAAGTGCTGCGACCCTTAGTAGACATTCCTCCAAAGGAATATTACAAAGCTCTACAACATACGCTGGCTGATCTAAGGCTGTACGTGTTACCCTTAGTGGACATTCCTCCTAAGGAATCTTGCAAACCCTATTCCATACGCAGGCCGATCTAAGGGCATAAGTGCTGCGACCCTTCGCGGACATTCCTCCTAAGGAATCTTACAATGCCCTGCTACATTCGCTGGCCGATCTAAGGTTGTATGTTTTACCCTTATTGGACATTCCACCTAAGGATTCTTACAGAGCCCTGCTTCATACGCAGGCTGATATAAGGCTGTACGTGTTACCCTTTGTGGACATTCCTCCTAAGGAATCCTATAAAGCCCTGCTCCGTATGCAGGCTTATCTATATGCAGGCCGATCTAAGGGTGTAAGTTCTGCAACTCTTAGTGGACATTTCTCCTAAGGAATCTTGCAAAGCCCTACTATATACGCATGCCAATCTAAGGCTTTACTGTTACCCTTAGTGGACATTCCTCATAAGGAATCTTAGAAAACCCTACTCCATGCACAGGCCGATCAAGGACGTAAGTACAGTGACCCATAGTGGACATTCCTCCTAAGGAATCATACGAAGCCCTGCCACATATGCAGGCCAATCTAAGGCAATACGTGTCACCCTTAGAGGACATTCCTCCTAAGGAATTTACAAAGCCCTGCTACATACCCAGGTCGATCAAAGGCTGTACGTGTTACGCTTAGTGGACATTCCTCCTAAGGAATCTTACAAAGCCCTGCTATATACGCAGGTTGATCTAAGGCTATTCGAGTTACCATTAGTGGACATTCCTCCTAAAGAATCTTACAAAGCCCAGCTCCATATGCCGACCGATCTAGGGGCGTTAGTGCTGCGACCCTTAGTGGACATTCCTCCTAAGTAATCTTACAAATCCCTGCTACATATGTAGGCTGATCTAAGGTTGTACATGTTACCCTTAGTGGACATTCCTCCTAAAGAATCTTACAAAACCCTGCTCCGTACGCAGGCCGATCTAAGGGCATAAGTGCTAAGACCCTTAATGGACATTACTCCTAAGGAATCTTACAAAGCCTTGCTACATACGCAGGCCAATCTAACGCTCTACGTGTTACCCTTAGTGGACATTCTTCCTAAGGGGTCTTACAAAGCCCTACTCCATATGCAGGTCGGTATAAGGATGTAAGTGTTGCGATCCTTAGTAGACATTCCTCCTAAGCAATCTTACAAAGCCCTGCTACATAAGCAGGCCGATCTAAGGCTGCACATGTTACCCTTAGTGGACATTCCTCTTAAGGAATCTTATAAAACCCTGCTATATATGCATGTCGATCTAAAGTTGTACGTGTTACCCTTAGTGGACATTCCTCCTAAGGAATCTTACAAAGTCCTGCTTTGTACATTGGCTGATCTAAGTGCTTAAGTGCTGCGACCCTCTTGTCGACATTTCTCCTAAGAAATCTTACAAAGCTCTGCTACATATGCAAGCCGATCTAAGGCTGTACTTGTTACCCTAGGTTGACATTCTTCCTAAGAAATCTTACAAAGCCCTGCACCATACGTAGGCCGATCTAAGGGCAAAATTGCTGCGACCCTTAGTAGACATTCCTCCTAAGAAATCATACAAAGCCCTGCTACATACACCGACAGATCTAAGGTTGTACGTGTTTCCCTTAGTGGACTTTCCTTCTAAGGAATCTTACAAAGCCCTGCTCCAAACGTAGGCCGACCTAAGGGCGTCAGTGCTGTGACCCTTAACGTTCATTCCTCCTAAGGAATCTTAGAAAGCCCTGCTACATACATATGCCGATCTAAGGCTTTACGTGTTACCCTTAGTGGACATTCCTTCTAAGGAATCCTATAAAGCCCTGCTACATATGCAGACCGATCTAAGGCTGTACGAGTTACCCTTAGAGGAAATTCTACCTAAGGAATTTTACAAAGTCCTGCTACATACGTAAGCCGATCTAGGGCCGTACGTGTAACCCTTAGTGGACATTCCTTCTAAAGAATCTTACAAAGCCCTGCTAAATACGTAGGCCGTTACAAGGCCGTACGTGTTGCCCTTAGTGGACATTTCTCCTAAAAAATCTTACAATGCCCTGCTCTATACGCAGGCCGATCTATGGGCGTAAGAGCTGCGACCCTTAGTGGACATTCCACCTAAGAGATCTCACAAAGCCCTGCTACATACATATACCGATCTAAGGGCGTAAGTGGTGGTACCCTCAGTGGACATTCCTCCAAAGGAATCTTACAACGCCCTGCTCCATAGGTAGGCCGATCTAAGTGCGTAAGTGCTGTGCCC